ACACTTCAAGCTCAGTTCTACTGGAGCCGTGATGTATAAAGGAGAGAACTTCAAAGATCATGTTAAAATTTGCAAGAACACTCAACACATAAACCTGAAACATTGGGTAATGAGCTACCGGTATGAAAACTCCAGTAGTTGTTGTCTCCATTGTTGTCAAAAGTCACTTGTGCACACCTCCAGCATCGCGGGACACATTTAGTGAGAAATTCAGCACATCAACTGGTTCCAGTAAGGAGAAAGTGGGTCTAAAGAAGAAGATGAAGAATAATAATGATGACACGAAAATTGTTAAATCGCGTATGAATCATTTCTTCAAAATGAAGGGGGGTGTAGGGATGGCGTATAGCTATTATGATAATTGCAGGGACGTATGAAACTTTTGGGCATATGTATAGGTAGATATGGACCCGTGAGTGATTTATTGTGTGTTTTGAAGGCGTAGCTACATTCAACAATGCAATGGTAACATGAGATGATGGGTCACATGTAAACTTAAGTTAAGCTTCCAGATATTTTAACATAATAAACGTACTATCGACACATCTTCGTTCTTGTAACCCAGTGATCCATGCCAGCGCTTACATGCTTACGTTACTCACCTTTCAGAGAGGCTAGAACAGCATCTGCAGGGGAGGTTTTCTTCCCGTTGGCTGCTTGATTAGGATGGAAGATATTGCTTAATGGAAAACGGATTCGAGGAAAACACCGCAGGTGATAGTGTGACCTCTAGCTGGGGCTCTTAGAGGGAGATCTCTTATGGATGATCCTGAGTCAAACTGCCTTGTCAATGAGTGTTGCTCTCTGGAGGGGGGGTTCGAGACTAATATTAGCTACAGACAGAATTCAGGATTCTCAGTGATGCACATCATGTTAGTTTTACAAAGCTAAGAAAGATGAGAGGCTGGTCGATAGGTGCATGCACCGAGAAAATGCCACTGCTTGAGGAGATCAACAAGAGGGGGGGGGGCATTGGGTCGCTCTCTGGGATACACTTAACCTCCCCCTGCTATGGTAAATTGTTTAGCATGCTTTTATTTGATGGAAATTAATCCATGGAACTGATAATGTATGTAGCTATATAGCTGTACGTTTATGCTCTCATATTCAAAGTGCCCCTGTAGGGCTATATTCATGAACTTGTGTCTGGCTCACCTCTCAGATACCATAAAAGTCCCTAACTCACCCGAGTTGTCTTCTGATTCACTTTGATGCAACCCTGATAGCTTGAATCGTGCAAAGTGTTCAAAGGCAGTGTAATAAGGACGCTAAATGTAAGGCAGATCTTTTACAACTTCTGTTGTTCCTGGTAGCTCATGGACAAATTACTATCCTACTAGCTAGTGTGAAGTTTTTCACATTAGAACAACCTTGTAGGCTTCTTACAACCATTATTGTTTCGCTTTTATGCAAAGCTATAGCTGATGGTGATGAATGTTTTACCAGGTACTCAAAGGCAACACCTAGCTAGCAAATATTTTCACACAAACCCTACCAGCTGGCTGATAGCTAATGGAATGTTTTACACTGTGCTCAAAGGCAACAAACAATGACCACTGAATTTTTGGCAGGCCAGTTGATGTAAGGCAGGTAAATTACTTACAAACATTATTGTTTCACTTTGATGCAAAGCCATAGCTAATGGTGATGGAATGTTCAACAATGTAACACTGACTAGTGTAAATTTGGAAGCGGAGGCAATGTGTAAAGTTTACACTGGTCAATGTTGCCTTTGAGCACCATGTAAAGCATTCCATTGGCTATTAACCAGATTATACAATAATAGTTTGTTAGGACCTTACTTACATCTGTCTGTGTCCTAATTTACCATGGCAGGTGTTGCCATTTTTCTGGCATTCAGGTTTTGCATCAAAGCCACTGCTTCATGCAGAGCTGATAGGTTGAGTGATGGAATAATATAGTACAAGGTGCTCAAAGGCACCACAAACTAGTCAAGGGGTACATTTAAAGTTGCAACTTTGATACAAAGTAAAGCTTGAATGATGGAAGATACCTGTAACTCTTCACACTATATGACATGCCCTACAACAATTACTGCTCCAGATCAAAGCAAGGAAAGGGTAGATCACTCATGTAAGCCATCACGAAAATATAACACCTTTTCCTAAAGTGTATGTTCTTTCCTTCCCCAGTTCAGGGGAGTCAGGGGAGTCAGGGGAGTCAGGGGAGTCAGGGGAGTCAAGGGAGTCAGGGGAGTCAGGGGAGTCAGGGGAGTCTAGGGAGTCAAGGGAATCAGGGGAGTCCAGGGAGTCAATGGAGTCAAGGGAGTCTAGGGAGTCTAGGGAGTCAAGGGAGCCCGGGGATTCCAAGGAGTCCAGGGAGTCAAGGGAGTCAGGGGAGTCAGGGGAGTCTAGGGAGTCAAGGGAGTCAGGGGAGTCCAGGGAGTCAATGGAGTCAAGGAAGTCTAGGGAGTCAGGGGAGTCAAGGGAGTCCGGGGATTCCAAGGAGTCCAGGGAGTCAAGGGAGTCAGGGAGTCAGGGGGAGTCTAGGGAGTCTAGGGAGTGCAGGGAGTGCAGGGAGTCTAGGGAGTCAGGGGAGTCAGGGGAGTCCATAGAGTCCAGGGAGTCAAGGGAGTCAAGGGAGTCTAGGGAGTCAAGGGAGTCTAGGGAGTCAAGGGAGTCAATGCAGGGAGTCAAGGGAGTCAAGGGAGTCCATGCAGGGAGTCAAGGGAGTCTAGGGAGTCAGGGGGGTCAAGGGAGTGCAGGGAGTGCAGGGAGTCAAGGGAGTCCAGGGAGTCCTGGGAGTCCAGGGAGTCAAGGGAGTCCAGGGAGTCAGGGAGTCAAGGGAGTCAGGGAGTCAAGGGAGTCAGGGGAGTCAGGGGAGTCAAGGGAGTCTAGGGAGTCAAGGGAGTCAATGGAGTCCAGGGAGTCAAGGGAGTCAGGGAGTCAAGGGAGTCAGGGAGTCAGGGAGTCAAGGGAGTCCATGGAGTCCATGGAGTCAAGGGAGTCCAGAGAGTCAAGGGAGTCAGGGGAGTCAGGGGAGTCTAGGGAGTCAGGGGAGTCAGGGGAGTCCAGAAAGAAAGAATATTATTGTATATATAGGAAAAGGTGTTATATTTTCGTGATGGCTTACATGAGTGATCTACCAAGGAAAGAGGTTTTTAATTGACTGTGACAATTTGAAAACATTGGCAGGTCTATGAAGCTATCACTATCCAAGTCCTAGATTTGTCAGACTAATAAGTGTCTGGCTCTAAGCCCCATTTTTCATGCTTTATCTAGATGGCAAATGGAAGGTGTCTGAAGAGGTGGTGATCAGGTTATAATTAATTTTATATCAGTAGAGGCTTTTCAAAATGCCTGTCTTGTGGGAGTGAACAGATCAGAGATGTACGTATATAATTATTGTTAGTAAGCATGTAAAGGCTAGCATGGGAGTTGTGGAGCTAAATGTAGCATTGTTGGCAGTATTAATTTGGATTGTTGGTTAGAGGGAGGTCATGGACATATCCTCAAGCAAGATGCTATAGAGGCAGTTCAATTTACTTGATTTGGATACAGGCCTTCAAATCCAGGAGTTCATGCTCCATACACCGTCTTCACAGTGTTGCTGCCGTTAATTGTGGAGCACCAAGGAAACAAGGCTTGGCCATACAAACCGAAATATGTGACCCTATTTAATGATCACTATAGCTGGTGGGAGGTGAAAGGAAAAGGCAACGTGATTTTTATCCCATTCCACACCCCAGGTAGCACATCCTAGTCTCTTATAATGTTATTCTGCACTAGTACAGAGTTGGATAAGCGGCAGTAATAGTTGGTTATGTAATAATAATGGGCTATTATGACAGCTTGCCAACTTGGGCAGACAGAAAATTGAAGATAAATGTCTTAATGAACAAAGTGTGATGCTATAAAAGTAGAAAGGACACTGTCTGGTCACAAAACATCTCTTGTTTCCATGATCATGCATCGCCTCGCAGCATCCGCAGTTGCAGTGTTTGCACTGCTTGCAGCTGTCTCCTGCCAGGTAATTACTTTACAGCATGTAGCTATGCATTTATTCTTTTTTCACCTCTCTATATAATTATAATATATATAGGAGATAAAAATGAGCAGCAAAACATGTGGCCCACGTAAGTTATTTTTCATTTAGCTACCTTGTAAAAATAAGAAAGAAGCCTTTATGGTGCAAGTATGTTGGTTTTTTTTACAGTGGAAGGACCCAATTTAGGTGAAGGGCAGGTGTGGATAAACGAGCTTTGTTCAATCCTGACAATCGATGGATACGACTCAAATTCTGGGCAATTCACAGGGACACATGAAAACTTTGTGGGTGTTGCAAAAGGTCAGTTTGCAGTCGCTGGTTTCAAAGACCCCGAGGGGAATACTCTTGGATGGACCCTCGACTGGGAGAACTCAGAATTGGACGCCTGCGCTGTTATATCGTGGTCTGGGCAGACCCAGTACCTTCCCAATGGGGTACCAGTTATCCTGACGACTTGGGTTATCACCCGTCAAACAACCCCCGAGGAAAACTGGTCCTCGACACTGATTGGAGCCGACCAGTTCTACCCGATTAACAGCCCACCGGCTAACTGCGGATCGAAGGCCTTCGCTTTCTTTAGTCGACATGGATAGAGAGACCCTTGATTAACCAGGGACTAACTGGACTGGAACATTTTCTAAAGACTAGCTAGTTAGTAAGATTGTATGATAGCAGTGACAATTCTAGATGTTGTAGATTAGTACTCGTGGAGGTATTAAATTTTTTGGGTGTAATAAGACTATCATGCATGAAGACTTTCAAATTTTCAAATGATGGCTTGGGGTTTCTAGCTAATCACGTTGCAGAAAACTTCAGTAGATGCACACTGGACAAGACTACATGCTTTCCACTGTGCATTATTTTGGCTTGCTCATCCACACAGTCCGCTCTTCATGGTTAGGAAGTGTGTGTGTCTCATGGTTAGGATAATGTTCAGTCTGCTCTAGGAATATTTTTGGTAGAATGAAGGTCCGTTAAGTGTAATACAACAATTAGTAGGTGATCAGATGAAGTATAAGAGAGGCAAGTGATTGGCAGAGACCGTGACTAGGAATGACATAGTGAGTGGGGCTGCGACGATCCCCAGCATCCATGAGGTTTGCATTGCTCTCAAGAAGGCCAGGCAGGCCCCACAACCCCAAATGCCGACTCTTCCCCTGTCTGGCAAACACATACACCTCATCACTCTTTAGTTCTTGGAATGGTTCAATCTTGAACTCAACTGGTGATAGCTCGATGTGAGTGCGAGGGGTTACTGAGGGAGGAGATTTGGCTAGTATGGCAAAGCCAACAAGTGTGGCCCAGTGGGCTCTGTGTCCCCTGGCCAGACAGGGAGAGTGGTCCTTATCTGCATCATACGGTACAACCAGTGCACTCCGCTCTGCTATCGCCGTCAGTATATCACCCGTGTTTACTGTAGATGTGTTAACCAGGGTGCCTGTGCATTGCAATTCAGATATAGCCAGGTCTAGAAGATGCTGTGCGGAAAACATTTCCCCGTTCACAGAGTAGCCTCTCCCTCTGGCACTGGAGAGAAGCTTATGAGGTGGATATGCTACTCCAGTCAGCAGTTGGGAGGCAATGCTCAGAGCAACGAGTCCACACATTGGTCCCTGTTGCAGGACGGGGTTCACATCGTGGACCAAAGAGTAAACACTCTTGTCTTGTTCATTGGCACGGTTACATAACGGCTCCACCAAATAGCCTATTTCCTCGGCCAAGGAAGGTGCGTTGGCAGCTACAGTGGTTTGGGGTGAGGGAAATCTCGGTGGAGGAGGAGCTGGAGGGGGGATCGGTACAGCCATTCATGCAGCTATTTGTAGTATCTTCTACGGAGGAGGATGGAGGAGTCGCGTCTTAGCCCAGCTGATCGTCAACTGGGCGTGGGAGCCACACCTCCGCATTGCGCACTGCAGCGGAGGGGCGTGGCACATAACTGAAGCTGACATTGGAGGAGGTTTGCAGGCCGATGATCCTTTCCCTTCGTGAATCATCTGCAGCCCTACGGAAAGGTCGCTACTAATGGCAGAGCAAGTGCTCGAGAGGGGAAGAAGTAACTATGACTTTCTTCTACGGAGACCCTCTGCCATTTTGGAGACCCAATTCGAGGCATGTCCGTAGGTTGTGGGCGTTGAGTAAAGTCCTACATAACTTTGTGCGTAGCTGCAAAGAATCCGGCCCGGCAGAACCTCCAGTAAACTGGCTCATAGTATAATTATACAAACTGAAACTTGTTAACTGATAATGAAAAGAGAGCTAGTGTAGCATACTTTGACAACTCTGGTTTGGGGGGGGGAAGGGGTGGATGTATTCAAGGCCAGAAGGGAGTGTGCCCTTAATTTTCCATAATCTATGGTGTGGTTTGTTCTCTACATGCATGCAATTCAACAGAATGTGGGAGGAATCTAACATGTAGGTCTGTGCCAGTTTTTTCCCCTCATTTCCCTCCTATACACAGTGAAGTATAATTATACATAAATCATGTTGTGCAGGAAGCTATCTTGCTGGTGGGAGCTGCTACAAGTCCTTTAGAGCTAAGGCTGGCTGTGACCAGTGCACTTCACACTGCCCTACCTGACCTGGTACACACATCCGTACACACAATGACAATTTCCCATACACAATCTGTTGTCATAGTAACTCTGTAAAACCTGGCCATACACTCAAACGCCCACAATTATGTAACTGAAAGAAACACAGGAGGCCATAAAACGTACTATCTAAACATAAACACAGCCATGTGGGCACTGATATGTAACAGCCTACCATATGTTTGTTTATGTGACTGTACCCACAGTGACTGTACAACCCCCCATCATGTAGGTGTGTTCCCTGGTGCTACTGCTGGATGTTGAGACTCAGCAACTTGCCTACTTTGAAACCAATGACAGTCCATTATACATGCCTACATCTGGAGTAGTCTGGTAAAGACATGCACACACCTACACATGATTTGGCCAGTTGATCATAATTATACTATATTTTGCTGGTAGTATATACATATGTTTAGAGAGTCATGGTGATGTCTGTAGGGACTCTGTGAGAAGGCGGAGTGCAGACACCCTTGCTGAGGCCATTCCTTCCTCTGACCCCATCAGAACACTCTATCCTGCCCTGCCTCCCTCTCTGGGGGACGGACAAGTTGGTGAGTCGCCTTCAGACAACTGCTACAATCCTTGTTTATAATTATGGTGTGTATCCATGCACCGATTCATTATGTCATCTTTGTCTCTAATGGTCTGCAGTTGTTGTATTGCCAGTGTTACCTGTAAAAGGTCATCAAATTGTCGCCGTTATGCTTGTAAGTCCTACATACAACATTATATGTATCTATATGCCATATATATACATGTATGTGTAGACAAGCACGTAGTACTTGACTCTGTATGTAGCACTCTTAATTGCTTACACTATGGTTACACAGGCTGTGTGCAGTAAACTTCAACCACCTCATGAAGGAAAGCTTCAGTGGCTAAAGAAAAATGTGGGTATATGTATTATATATACACCACTCCTTCACTACCAGAGGCAAAAAATGTGCGGCTATTGGGTCTGACGACATTATTATGATGGCTGTACTATCTGGGAATGTGCCTTCCCATGCGTGTGTTTGAGCGTTGGGACCAAGTCTATGGTACTACACACACAGACCAGACCCTCTCCCGTTTAATGAGAGGGTGTGGCTATGCCATACTATCAGAGTCGGTGACAGGGCAGTGGGGAGCCACCTACTGAAATGGTGTGAACACAATGTCCCAGGTCCTGGTGGCCAGTCAGAGGGTGATGAAAAATGCTGTGGCCGAGAAGGAGAGGAGGAGAGCAGAAGGGATGCTGCGAGTCTGTGGTGACCTCATTGACCTTGACAGCTCCATCCTCTTGCTCAAAATACACAAGCATGTGAGATTTTGTGTCTGACAATAATATTATAAGTTTTAGTCTTACCACCTTTCAATTGTTCTATGTAGCTGAAGTCTATTCTAGATGCCAAGGCAAGCATGGTGTTGATTGTGGATGAAGTAACTAATGAGTTGATTTGTCAGGTATAGTTACATGTACATTGCATTCAGCTATTATTGGATGTTATATTTTCTTGTGCAGACATTTGATGATGTGGCACTGGATACCCCATTCACCCTCCCAGTATGCATATTTCTTTTCGTATTTCTTTGGAAGGGGTAGAGCTAGCTACCACAAGAGGCAGCTCTCTAAAAGCCTGGTTCATAATACATCGCAGGACCTGCAACACAACGCAGTGCGTAGTCAAAGGAATTTTGTGAGCGTACTATGATGCAATTAATTATCACATTTGGCCCTCTGCCACTTGTGCGTGACGTTGAGGGAAAAGACCTCTGTGATGTCACAAAATGTTGCGTGATGTCAGATCGCATAATGTCGCATTCTCCTGCGACGTATTGTGAACCAGGCTTATCATGTTCATATACTATTATGTACATTTACTACCGTGACTCTATCATACATGTACGTACTACCGTCACAGATGGCAGAGACTCTGTATGGTCGCTGTGTGGAGTCCGGTCAGAACATCCTCATTGACAACGTAGCAGAGGTCAGAGTTCAACATTGAGTTATTCATGTAGGCACTCCAACAATGTTCATTATGCAGGATATGCGGTACAACCCTGCTGTTGACACCGTTAACAGTATGTACTGATAATCTTCAATTAGCATGTGTTCTGTAAGCTTATACATCATCATTATTATACAGACCCTTGCAATAGTAATGCAGGTCAAACAGACATCTTGAGTATAATATACAGTGTGCTGTTTTAAATAGGGCCAGCTACTGCTCAGGTTGAGGCTGTGAGGTTCAAAATTTGTGGTAGTGTGATAGCTGGAAGAGTGAATGTATAATTATTTGTTATGTGCCATGTCTAGTGAGACATGCTATCTGTTGCACAGACTATGAGCCGTCCTCCATGATATGCATGCCAGTCCAAGTACAGAGAGAGGGCCACTCTGCTCCCAAAACTATCGCTGTGGCTGTTGTCTTTGACAAGACTGTGGAGAAGGGCGGAAAGTAAGACCGTAATACAGCGACATTGATGTTTATGGCGGTAACTATTTTAACACTGCTCTAGGTTCACAAGTAGGGATGTGGAGAACATGGGTTTTGTGCTGCGGTTCAGCTCCACCTTGCTGGCCAACACTCTGGCCTACCAGAGGGAGATGCTGCTTCGGAAACACAACGTGGCTCTTCTTGAGATGGCACGCAATCTCTTCAGCTCCGTCAGTAAGTTTTAGTTGTATTATGTTACATATAACGTACTCTACATACGTACATGTCATGCAGTACAACAGGTATCACGTCACTAAGTTCACTAGGTGACTGGCTACGTTGCTTGCTGACGACAAACAGAAGTGGATGTGATGATGCATCCCTCCATACTATATGAAAAAGCACTGAAGTATGCAAGCCCTCGCTGAACTGTGCATGTGCGATACCGCTAATCGATGGCCTGGGTATGCGTTTACCCGTGGTCTCCCGCTAGTACCCCGCAGAGAGTCTGACCCGGGCTAGCTACAGTAGTAGATAACATGCGGGAGTCGATACATGACCTTCGTTGTGACTAGAAAACCCCACTTATTTTTCCCGACGCTGAATAGCTTGTAGAGCGATTGACTGCTCGTGAAGTGAGATAGCTCACGGACTGACTGACAGACACACAGGACAACTACCGTAAAAGGGACAACCATGCCAGCATTATTGAATGCAGTGTTGAGGGGATGAGTTAACCCAGGAAATATGACTTTGATTTGAGCTTGGCAACCTCCCCCCCTCCCCCCCCCCAAACTGCATGAGCTGCAAACTGTATAATGTTTGATACTCAGGTGACCAGGATAAACTCCTGAGAGCTGTGATGAACGAGGCAAAGAAACTCACCAATGCTGAAAGGTACGTACAGTTGTATGGCTTCATATTCACTTACAAGGCTTCCTTGGAGACATAGTACAACATCAATATTTGTCATGTGAAATGCTCACTTACCCTATGGTGATGTGTACATGTGTAGGTGTTCAGTGTTTCTACTGGATCTCCAGGGACATGAACTTGTGGCGTCTGTGTTTGATGGGGCAGTGCCAGCACAGGTGTGTGGTATGTGTGTGTGTGTGTGTGGTTCTCTGAATGTGGTCAAAGCGACTAGAACAGCACGTTTCTGGCGAGTGAATACTAGCTAGAGTCACACGTGCTGTGAAATACACGAGCTCAAATATTTTCCATTTCGTTTCTCAAAACATATAACAGTAGCTACAGAGGGACAGTGCCATTGACATTGTAGCATGCAGAAATGGTGCATTCAGACTCTCACTTGCTAATTATACCTTTAGTGTCCTTTAGTGTCAAAGTGAGAAGATGTACCCCAATGGCAATGCTGTTATTGAACGCTATTCTTCTTTGCTTGTAACACATAAAGCTAACAGTGTGTTAATTTTTCTGCAGTCACCGTTTAGAATAGCAGTTGGTCAAGGCATTGCTGGATTTGTAGCTAAAACAGGTATATTATAAGTAGACATAATATTATATCTACATGATGTGTGTGCATGCCCACACAATACTAACAACACTGAATGAATATGTAGAACAAGGAAGTTAACAACAACTGAGCCCGTTCCTAGACGACCAGAAATAAGCGTAAACTCAGGAAGTAATAGCTTGCTGTCTATTTCAGTCAAGTATGGTGCAATATTTTCAACAAAACTTTCAAAAATACACAATGTTTTCGACTTCGGCGGTCTTATAAATATGAAGGATAAAAAAACGAAAAAAAACAAAAAATAACAATGAGAGAGGGATTGTGGAATTGAAGGATTGATTGCTTATATAATTTTCCTTTTTAGCACCTCTCTTTTCCTTTTTTTTGCCTTTGTATATTTCCTTTTGGTTTTGAGCATTTTATTCTTTTGTTTTTGTTTATATTTGCCTATGGTTTCAGACCCCTTGTTCTTAGCATTCCGTCTAAGCCTTCAGTTTCTTAGACAGTGCATTCCACCTTAACCTACATATTTGTCACCACCTTCCTTGTACAATCATCACACTTGAGAAAGACTGCGAAGTCGAAACATTGTGTACTTGTTGAAAAGATTTCACCATACTTGACTGAAATATGTATACAGAAAGCTATTACTTCATGAGTTAACACGGAATGACACGAGCATACCTTGAGTACATGTTGCTTGCACCTACCCAGTGTGTGGTTTTGAAGTATGTACTAATTGCTATCTGATATCTTCATAATGTCAGTCCCAAAGGCCCTTGTTACCCTCCCCGGTGATGAAACTACCAGACATGCATTGAAATCATTAAACCATTTTGTTTTTTTTAGGAGAGATAGTCAACATCAAAAATGCATACAAGCACCCAAAGTTCTTCAAGGAAATTGACATGAGTACTGGATTCCACACAAGGTGACTGTGGCAGTTATAATAATGGGCAATTAAGTGCACTATTTGAATCCTGAGTTTTTGCAAATAATAAATAATGTACATAAACTATAGTTAAGCCCCTAACATTTGAGCATTCCTCTGTCCACTGATACACTTGCATGTAAAAGCCTTTCACGTGCCTCTATACTTATTATAGTAATGTAGCCTATCATACGTCCCTACCGTGTCACAGTACTAAACTTACACACTATCAATGTCATGCCACACCCTCATTTGTGCATTACCTCATGTGTACTGCTCGAGAGAGATTCATTGTTACAGTCCAACGAGAACCTTACACATATGTAGCCTTATGATAAGAAACCATAGTTTCCAAGAGCACATCATAACTAGAGACAGTTCGAGGGAACCCCTCACGAGTGGATTCTGTTCCATATGCAGGAGGACGTGTCTTACCGTAATTTAGCCTCGAGTAGTGTGCCATAAATGGAGTTGCACACGCGACTGTTGTTGGTGCTTGTAGACATCTATTATTTGTTATTCAGCCTCTAATGTCCCTTTCTGCCAGATATATAGCATAGCTGAAGAATACCTACAGCTCGATCCACGTATGAATCAGACTTCTCGTCCATACACAATTTCCTCTCGTTACTCTGGGAGTTTCCTCTTGATAATAAGTATAGGCACAAGGAGACACACACGAATAACATCCTGTGTGAAAGTAGGAAAGTCTTCCATGTGACTGTGTCACCCACAACCAGGGCTTTTGTGTACCCCACAACCAGAGCTTTGGCAGCAGCGGGCACTTTGTGAACTGGTTATCCTACTTGCAACCAAACTCTTCCAAAGTTGCGCTATTAAAAAAAAAAACGAAAGTTTTGCCTCACACAGTGACGGATATTGGGATGCTGAAACTGTGAGATAATGCTTTTGGAATCTCTTTGTTGACACTGTGCTTTGCCAAGACTTAAACGCTGTGCTGCTTTATCACTACAGGAACATTCTCTGCTTCCCGATCAAAAACAACACTGGAGGTAATGCATAAATAATTGACATTAATATCTCATAATTATTCCTATCTTATTGTCAGATGTGGTAGGAGTTGCTGAGTTGTGCAACAAAGTTGGAGGTACATAGGTTGGATTCTCATTCACGTACTGTACATGTTGTTTTTCAACCCAAAGGGAACTTTTTCACCAAATATGACCAGGAATTGGCAGCAACCTTCTCAGTATACTGCGGAATCAGTCTTTACCATGTAACGTGTAATGTCATCTGGCATTAACCATCCAATTACAACGCTACAAAACCACATATACCATGTGTTTATTATGTCACAGGCGGGTACACTATAGACCGCAAACTTGAGATAACACCAGTAACCAACAGCAAGCTCTCCACTGATTCCTCATGTTGTACCACATGCAGGTTCCGACTTGGCTATAGGGTAGGTGTAAATGGCGACGGCCTATAGTAAATACTATATGCATAATTATGACATTGCCATTAACACGTAGGTGTCGACAGAGGAGTTTGAAAAATTGGCCACCAAAGACATTGTGGAATGTACTGAGTTCAGCGAAGCCATTGCAACCTTTACCTACACACCCCGATCATCCCTGATGCAAGAACTGCAGAGGTGTTACATAAATGTTTTATCGTGTGTGTGTGCAGTCATTATTTTAATTATTAAGTTTTGGTTGTTTTTATGTAAACGTCCTGTGCTTGAAACACGCAAATCTAGTGGTTTTTAGTCTTAATTAGTCTCTTGAAAACATGAAAATACGCAATTGCAATGTAAAATACTGACCTTAGGTATTGAGATATTTTGTAATACCCACCAGGCAGTGATTAGCATGTGTTCTGCTATGGGCCTAACTCGACGGTGGAAACTACAACCAAGCACACTTGCCAAGTAAGTTTCTTGTCTCCTCTACACATGCCAGCAATATCCACCGTTGCTCAACAGGTTCGTTCTGATGGTTAAACGTAGTTACCGGGACCCACCCTATCATAATTGGTACCACGCCCTCTCTGTGGCCCACTTTTGCTACGTGCTCCACCAGCGCTGTGACAACCTCTCCTTCCTGACAGACCTGGAGGTCCTGGCTCTCTTCTTCTCCTGCCTCTGCCACGACATTGACCACAGAGGAACCAATAACTCCTTCCAGATATCCTCTGTAAGATATTGCCAACCCAGTTTACTGGACGGCTCTATTGCCCTTTTACTGTCGTGCAGAAATCTGTTCTAGCATCTCTGTACAGTTCTGAAGGCTCAGTTATGGAGGTACATATGTAATGTGGCTATGTATGTATGCATGTGGTTTAATTAGGCTGATTGGTTGTCCTCAGACATTACATAACGACTCTGCCCCTGTTGGGAAAAACACTACACCAACACAATACCCTGAACTGAAACCAACAATACCCACAGTAAAAACAGTCCTCAGTTGCCCAAATTGCCATCACCTATTGGTTCCCCCAATTATCAGAGTATTCAAATGAAACCCTGAGCAAAAAACGATGTTTCTCTGGTGTAGGGGAAATATTTTGCAGTTACGTCAAAGGTAAAATGTTTAGTAGCTGTTTCAAAAGGAGAGAGGAGATCCTGGCACTTTGAATACAATAACACTGATTCTGTTAATGCCTATTCTTCCACTGTAGCGCCATCATTTTTCACA